ACTCCTCTCTATGTTGTGGAGATAGTTATTGTTGTGCTTTTTGTCTTGATCGGTAAGTGGGATTGGGATTCATTTCTATCTACCCCCCCATTCTTTCGTTGGGCCCAGGATTTCTGTATCCCTTTCTTGCCTTTGCTAGCTGCCAACCGGATTAACCGAGGGCACCCCTCTTCTTTTTCTATAAGAACTACTGTGGCCATCCTTTAACCTTTGTACCGGTTGTGCTTAGTACACAGGACTTTTTTCCCTCCGTAGCGAGATTTTGTCCTACCCGGACCGACCTAATCTCTTGGCGCTACCAGTCAATACCCTACAAGCTATGCTTCTCGAGTATTGACGGCAGGCATAATACAGCCCTATGCAGGGACTTACCGGAAAAGTGTACACGTGTCTTGGACTAGGGAAATTCTGCTCTGTTATCTTCTGGGAGCCCTTTCGGCTCCCCCTATTTAATCCTATACTTCTCATACAAATATCTAATGAAATGTAGTCGTTTCGGATCTCTACCGACCCTTCAGCTGAGTTCCGGCGACCGTTGAGCTCAGCGGCTGTCCGGATAGCATATCCGGACAGATCGCCGAGTACTTACCGTGATCCTTGGCTCCTAAGCTCTGGGTTATCAGACCGAGCCGATTCTTGACCTAAAGTAGGTCGGCGTATGGTCGAATCTGGAAATCCCTACACCACAATGGGAACTCCATGAAGATCAGCAGCTGTCCCACATCCTGGACCAGCGTGATCTTCGTGTGAGGTTTGCCCACTTGACCAGCAAGCGTATGCTGCCAAGGGACATCCTGAAGCGCGCGGCTTCTAGCGCTCACGATGAGCGCGGGTACGGTATGTATTCATCGACCGTACCCCGTTCGGGCAAGAAGCCCCGGACTACTTATGAAGCTGCCGCCGCTTCTGTTCCCAGATTGCGACAGCCTTCGGGCAGTCAATCAGGAGTCGTTCAATCGGCTCCCACGAGTTCTCGGAGTGGGCATAACCCCTCCACCTCACGAGGAGCTGTCGCTTACCGCGACACCGTTGCTCCTGGAGGATCCGCTCCACGTGGAAGTGGACTTCTCCATTCCGGTCAAGCAGGGGCGGAGGTGCCCTCGTACGAGTACGAGTACTCGGCGCCTCCCGAGAGCCACTCTCGTCCGAGTGCTCCGACTGCGGGTCCGACACGGGACCCTGAGGTTGACCGCCTCCGTCAACGTGTCCTCGTGCTTGAGATTGCACTTGGCCTTGGGACTGGCGGTAATGCTGCCGCCCAGGCCGGGAATCAGGGCGAGCTCGCTCGTCTTGCGGGCCGCCTGGACCTGGTGGAGCGAGAGGTCGCGAGCCTGCACCTGCGGGTGGATCGCCGGGCCTCTTCGTCCGATCTGGACGAGGCCTTTCGCATGATCCGACGGATCGAGACTTTGTTGCCACGTCCGGAGCCGCCTGCGGCACACTCCCAGACGTACGCGTATGGTTCGTACCCGGCGTACTCAGCGTACTCGGCGTATGGCGCCGAGGTCCGTTCGTATGGAGCCCCTCCGGCGTACGGTCTTGACCGCAGCCTTGCCGTCCCGACCGAGACTTGGGTGCCTGCTCCGACGCCCTCGTCGACGACTGTGACCGGCCCTCGCTTCGAGGAGCTGGGTCAAGGGGGATCTGCGAGTCAGCAACCCCCTGCGGGTCAAAGTACCGCTTAAGACGTCCGACATAGAACGTCGTATGCGTCGTCATTGACTTTGGAAGGTCGATGGTGTACGACGCACCATGTCTGGCCAGGACTGCAAAAGGTCCGATGAAGCGGTGCTTCAGCTTGTTGCTGCCGACAGAGCTAACAGTGTCTAGAGGTAGGTTCCTCGTGTCTAGTAACACTAAGTCACCAATCTCAAATATACTTAAGTTTCCTCTTCCTTGTTTGTCCGAGTACTCCTTTTGTTTATCTTGGGCCGCTGCCATGGCATCGCGGACCCTGCTGACAATGTTCAGCTTGGTATCCATAAAGGATTCCACCTGTTTCCGCAGCGAAACTGGCCTCACATCCGAGACCTGGGAGGAAAGGGCTTTCCGAGCCTCTCCCCCACTTAGAATAGAGGAGTCAGTGTTTCCTCGAAGAGTGAGAGGCACTCTGGGGTGGCGGAAGCCGTTCAAGTAGAACGGCGTGAACCCCGTGGACGCGTGCACCGCGTTGTTGAGCGCAAACTCAACAACTGGAAGCTGCGTCGACCACGTACGTGGCGCTGCCGCGCACACACTGCGCAGAGTGTCCTCGAGCACTCGATTGACGCGCTCTGTTTGGCCGTCTGTCTGCGGATGATCCGCAGTGGACATCTGCAGACGAGTTCCCAGTAAAGGGAACAGCGTTTTCCAAAACGCAGCAGTGAACCGCGGGTCTCGGTCCGAGACAATCGTCTCCGGGAGACCGTGATAGAGGAACACGCCATCGACGAACAACCTTGCGGTTTGTTCGCCCGTCACAGTGACGGGAACTGGAGCAAGATGTACCATCTTGCTCAGCCGACACACGAACACCAAAATTCCGGTGTTGCCGTGTCCGTCGGCGGGAAGCCCAAAGATGAAGTCAAGACTCATCGACTTCCAACAATCAGCCGGTACGGGCAGGCTCTGTAGTGGAGCCGAAGAGTGCCCTGCGGGTTTAACCCGCTGACATGTTTCACATGT